GAAAGAAAGCTTCAACAAGTAGAAGCTTCCTGGCAAGGCTTCAAATCAAACAAAGAGGTTGGGCTGTTCACTTCATTGATTTGACTTCACTTTACTTAAGATTAAAGATAGGGGCCGGGCGGGCAGTGAAGGCTCATTTAGTAGACAGCGAACGAGCAGCAAGCACCTACTCCTATCAAAATGAAAAGAAGCAAGCGGAACTTGAAGAAGCGAGCCTCTATCAGAGAAAGAGCCATTGCGCGCTAGCCGGGTTCCAAACCTGCGCACCCCTAAACTACAAGCTTTCTTTGAAGCCCCTACTTCATGGGATATTTGAAGAAGCCCTTTTCTACAAACCTTTCTATAATATTATATAATATAAGAGAAGCTCGAAGAGCTTTCTTCGCATGCTTGAGCGAGCGCATCCCCTTTCTATTAGTAAGGTTGTCAAAAGGCTTTCCTTTAGTTCCTTTATGACTAAACTAATCTAAATAATAGGGGTAGGGGGTAGAGTAAGAGATTCGCCAGGTTTCATTCGATTTGTTGTGCATTGGATTAACATTGAGATGTCAAAGATAAAAGGAACGAGGGGAATACTTAGTAAGAACAAAAGAGGCTAAGACGAAGGTTGGTTCAAGGGTACTATAAAGGCGGTATGGAACGCCGTTGATTGGCTTTATAATAAGTAATACTAACCTTCATCCGTTGCACGCTGAAACTCTTTTTTTCTTTATAAAGTGAAGTCTAGCTAATGGAAAGTGCCTATGAATGAGTTCCAAGAAAGCGGCCCTGAACCTCAGGGCTTTTAGGAGGTAAGTTGGAGATCTACTCGCTTTCACTTTCTTTTTTGTCCAGATTGGGTTGGTGTGAAGTGTACCTTAGTACACGATCGAAAAGAATGCATGGCATTCCAATGTTATGAAAAAGGGAACAAGGAGTATGAAGGAGCGAGAGTACAGAAGTACAGAGCTTTCATCATAATGCTTTTCGCCCCTATGGAAAAGATCATCAGAGAGGAGACAACGCATTTACCGAGAAAAAAAAGGAAGGATCAAGAATGTTCTATATTTCAGGAGCTAGATCAGTTGTAAATGCACAAGTCAGAAGTGCCTCTAAAAGAATTTATGGAATTGGCCCTATAAAAGCCATTCTGGTTCGTTATCGATTTCTAGTAGGAACAGCAGAAACTACCACTACATGCCCAGCAACATTTCCTAAATCCTTCTGCGAATGGCTGGGTGGAATTATCGATGGGGATGGTTGCCTGCAAGTAAAGAACCAAAAATATCCTACTCTTGATATTACTATGGGACTCGAAGATCTCCCACTACTACGATAAATCGAACAACATATGCTTTGTGGCAGTATTACAATGGAATCAAATGATAAAAAAGCTTTTCGTTATCAACTATGTAATAAAGCCGGAATGATAAAACTAAGAAATTGTATAAATGGGCATATTCGACATGAAACACGACTACTTCAACTACATCGTGTCTGTCAAGTGTTGGATATCCCGCCCATGGAACCTATTGCACTAGATGCTCAATCAAATTGGTTCGCAGGTTTCTTTGATGCTGATGGGCACATTGGTATCAATATGAGAAATCCACCACGAGGACCTGAACTAAGAATTGTAGTAACTAATAAGCTTCGCCAAGATGTAGAGTCTTGGAAGGTAGTATTCGGAGGAAATATCTACTTAAATAGAAATAAAAAAGAAGGTTGCTATAGGTGGTGGGCACAAAGTCGAAAAGATGTGCTTTTTATGCTTTCTGACTTTCAATCTAGTACTTGGAGAAGTCATAAAGCGCGCCGATTCTTACTTATTGAGGAATTTTACAGGCTGATGGACCTCCGGGCATTGAAACCGGAAAGTATTCACAATAAGGAATGGCTAGCTTTCCTAGACAAATGGAATCAATAAGTTGATGATTGAGTCCCCCTTTCTTGTATTGTGAAGTCTAGATTCTCATTCTCGTTATCTAAAGTTATATCCTTTCTACTTTTTCGGGAGCAGCTATCGGTCTTGGAAATGTCCTTAGTTCCTCGATTCATTCGGTGTGGTTGTTGTGATTCTACGATTATTTGGTTCTTTTTAAGGAGGCCCCGAAAATGCCTTTGGAAGTTGGGGTTCATAATATGACTTCAAAGACTGGTGTGAAGTCGTAACAAGGTGGCCGTAGGGGCTTATAGTTTAATTGGTTGAAACGTACCGCTCATAACGGTGATATTGTAGGTTCGAGCCCTACTAAGCCTACCACCCCCTTCTCTTCACCTGATACAAGGCAGTCAAAGTACCCACCAGCCTGCAGATCTAAATCTAGCGACGGCATCTGTAACCACACTGCTGCCGCTGCCCTTCGGGCACGCCTCCTAAGCTTATCACTCACCTACGCTCTTGCAGCATGCCCCCTTCGGGCAATACGGTGTAATACGCGATGCAGCCGAGCCATCGCTCTTCGATCGCTAGATTCTTGCGATAGCGAAGGATCGAAGAGCGATAGCGAAACCTAAAGTCTTATTGTTTTGTTCCCGAACAACGATCATTCATTACGGCCGGCCCGACCAAACACTGAAAGCCAGGTCCGGGCAAGCTATATTATGGAACTGATCGGACCGAACTGGGTCTAATGGAACAAGATATCGATCTTAATAAGGAATTGGAATCTGCAAGAATCAATGCGATAGCGAGATTGAGCAGTAGCGAGGGGCGATAGCGAAGGCGTGGTTCATACTCTAAGAGAGAGTAGATGCGAAGGTTCGGATCGAAGATCTTCGCGAGACAGCCCCCGGGCACCATAGCATGTCGGGAATAAGGGGGGACATACTGAACGTAACCACTCCCTTGGTTGGGGGCTGTGCCGCCCCTATCCTTTCAATTGATAGATTCCCTTTTATTATCACTGTTGGAAGATTTTTGAAGACGACTTGGTCAGGGCGGTTCACAATTTCTTTGCTTTGCTTATTCCAATACTGGGATTGGGTTGGCTTGGCCATTTTATTTATAAAAACCATTTTTTTAGGCCAGCGCGAAGGAACAAGCAACTTTCACTCCACTTTTTCCTTCACTAGGTAAGGGTCTCCGCCCTTGACCCAAGACCGCTAACACCGAATAAATCATGAAGTTCTACCCTTGTGTTGTTGAAAATAGATATCACATTCCTGCCAGTCTTTCGGTACCAGCTCTTGTTCTTGATGTGGCTCTCTTTCGGAAGTTGCGGAAGAGAGTATAGATGCTCCGCTCCTGTTCTTTCTGCGGCAGTTGTGGATTCGCTATACTGAAAACTGAGTTTCCATAGCTTGAACAAGACAGGATTTCAAATAGATGGAAAAACAGGCCCTTGAAAGGTGTAAAAGTGAAATAGGGAGGGATTAGCAGCCGTTACGGTAGACTTGGATGAATCTCAATCCGAATGAGGGACCCGACGCCTATAAGAGGTGGATGCGTCTTTTCAAGATCCATCAGAAGCATGAGGAGAAGAAGTGAACCCGAATAGGTGGTCATTCATGCCGTCTTCACCTTCACTTGCCATGGTCAATGCTCAGCCTTGCCATATCCCACGCTCGTAGCAAAGACGTGAACAACAAAGGTCTATGCGAAATGGACCAAATCGGATATGATTGAATAACCGAACAGTTAGGCTACGTAACTTTACGCTGACTCCTCTTCCCCTTCGATACGTGCCTGCTACTGCAGCAGCTAGAGAGAATGGCCTAACACTAAAATAAAGTAGTACGGATTCGGACATGGGAGCATTAGGAAGATTCTTTCTAGCTTATATGATTCACCTTTGGAATCATGTGAGTCACTCCAACAATAAGGTAGTTGGCTTACTTCCTTCTTAGAGGACAGGTAGTTAACTAATTGCTCTTCTTAGAGAGAAGGAGATGCTTGAACACCCTATTCTCAAACAACTTATTCTAGCAGCGTATTCTCGGCATAAGTCTGGATGGCTGCTATCTTTCTAAACAGGAGGAGGAAGGGGAAGGGCTTTATGAACATAAGGACAATGTAGGAGAAAAGGCTTCCACATCTCTCTCTTTCCCCATTGCCAAGATCCTTCCTCAAAAGGCTCTATTCCGGGTCTCATCTCATGCAAAGAAGATTGATAGGAGAACAGTGAAAACTCCCTTAGACGCTTTGTCTCTTTATTATTACCGGATTTAAGGATTGGTAAATGTCACTATGCTTAAGACATGGAATTGGACATCTTTCCTTGGCTAGTCATTCCCACCTTCATAGGAAAGATCTTCCAGTAAGGAGAGTTTTTTTTTAATGGCTATGTCCGGATCTAATGACTATTCTCTTTATCATTCTCTTCTAATTTCTATTGAATTGCTATGCCCCTTGATCTTAAGATCTGAAAATTCCGTAGAATGATGTCTGAAATCAATCGATGCTGTGTGGGTCATTCACTCTAGTTACGTCCTCGGAACCTCGCCTTTTGGTGCTTGGACGTCGTTTGAACTTTCCCGACAACGATCCTAGGCTAGAATAGCTAATAGGCTAGCTTTCGCCTTCAACACGAATGACGTGATAATCCGGAGTTTTCACTGTTCACAGTTCTTTCTTTTTTTGAACAGGAGATTTCTCTTTTTCGTTAGATAAGAGAAGAGTGAAGGGGTGATTGAATATGACTATCAATGACTTTGTTCATAAGCTAATAAGATCTTTTATCGATGAAAATGCGGTGGTATCGTATAGTTATAAGGCTGCTTTTAGGAGTGATCTTTCTCTCTAACTAGAAAGATCATAAGAGACGAAAGATCGTAGCCTAGAGTCTACATAAGGTGCTTTCGAGTTCTAAGAGTTTTCTTCTCCCTTCTCACGTTCACGCTTTATAAACTTACTATTGGCTATGGTAAGTAGAAAAAGAAGTTCTCTTCCATTCATCGAGATGGAATTGGTGTGAAGTGAAAGGAGGTCGTTCGTTCGAGAATAGGGGTCGTGGAAGAATTGTTGGGTTCGATTCCCATAGCCCCGGTGTGGAATCAAGAATGATTCAACGAGATATGAAATGCCTGCATTAAGATTTAAAACTTGTCGTCTACTTTCAGGAAATGTTTGGAACAGAAAACTTACAATAATACAACGCCGTATTCTCGGAAGATTGAGGAACAAGAAGAGATCTATTAAGAGAAAGATTTATTCGAGAAAAAATCTTAACAGTTACATCCAATTACAAACTACACGAAAGTTGTCCCTTTTTTATGGAAATTTACCCATCACAGAGATGCACAGAGGAACAAAACGAACTTCATATATCCCTTTTCTCCTCAATCCAGAAACAAGATCGGACGTTATTCCGGTTCGTCTCCATTTTTGTGAAACTATTCCTCAAGCAAGGCAGCCGATAAGTCATCGAAGGATTTGTGTGAATAATGGAATGGTCAACATTACTCATTTTAAACTCTCCCACGGTGATATAATATCTTTTAAAGAAAATGATGCGAGAACCCGCGGTGAAGAAATAAGGAGCTATATCGGAAAAAGAATAGGCAAATCACCAAATTTCCAGTTGCGTTCTGCTATGCAAAAAGAATACTTAGAAAGAACAAAGAAGTTTGGATCCGAAAAAGTATGCTTAGGTAGTTCTTTCGCTGAGCACAACAGAATGAAGAGGAATTTGTATCATTTAAAATCCCTATTCTTATCGAATAGAAGGAACGAGAAAAACCGAAATATTCCTACTCGAATAAGAAGTCCTATAGTTGACAACTCTTCTTTATATAGTAATTCGACCTATTGCTCCGCATCCCCCCAGAAGTTTACTAGGAAGATAAAAAGAAAAAGGATCGAACTACCTACTCATTATTCGGAGGTGAATCATAGAACACCAAAAGCTGTGGTATCTTATGGACCTAACATAGGTCATATCCCTCACGACATAAGATTGAAAGATCCAAACCTTCTTCTTCGGAGCGGAAACGGACGTGGCCAAAACATATAAAGATCGTAGCCTTAGAGTCTACATAAGGTGCTTTCGAGTTCTTAAGAGTTATAAGAGTTTATAGATTCCAGCGAGGAGCTATGAAAATTTCCCTCGCGGATGGGGAAGAAATAGAGAGCGTCCCCCCAATTATCATAAATAAAGAGAGAAAGAACTTCGCATAATTCTTATTATGTGATTATTTCTTTGATATAGCATTTCGATCCTTTTTAGAGATCGAGATGTGTTCCTAAGATTCTAAAAAACAAGCAACGGCTTCTAACGCTACAGACGCTATATGTTAATAAGAAGCCGTTGTGCGTGAGTCTAAGTCTAAAGACTCAAGCGTCTTCCTTGGTTATTTAGAAAGAGTTTCTTTGTTGTTGTGAAGTGAAAAGGAACAAATCGTTCAACTATATAAGATGCTCTTCTTTGGTAGGGAAGCTCATTTGCTTTTTCTTACCGATTTCCAACTAGAAGTAATTCTAAATTCTGCCTTGGAGCCTTATGAATTCAACCATACCACCCTGTCCAATATTCTTACAAGTTTTATTCTACACCGACATTCTTCCTATTTCTAGAATAGCGTGTTTGCTACAGAGCAACACCATTTTCTAGGCTTTTACCAACTACATTTGCAGGAAACTATGGAGAAACAGCAGCGCGACCTGGAGTTTCTGGAAATGCTGGAGTTGGAACAAAAAGAGGCTTTTCTTAAACAAGAAAAATCCTTTCTCTTGAAAGAACTTTCGCGATTCCAATCGGATAGCGAAAGTTCAAGCGGGGGTGAGAAACGTTTTTAAAATGGGGGAAGAGGAACGAGAGGCGTCCCTAAGCTTATGAGTATTCGGACTTCAAATAAAATTTTTGTTTGGAGATTCACGAAGAAGTATTGCGGCCAAACCAACCCTCCATCTAGATCTTGATTCATTATTTCAATTTTTTTTCTTAATGCAGGCAAGGAAAGGCTCATATGTCTTGTCAATTATTACTTGCTGGGTCGGAGCGTATACGAGCGAGCAGAGCCCAGGAAACAGGGAAGCCCGTCATAGAGCAGTCGACTAGAAGTAGAAGACTGCTGGCCTGAGAGAAGGCGCCTCTCTCGGGAAACATGGCCCAATTTCTCTTCTTTCTTTTGGTAAAGGTAAACGGTCCTGTTCAAGCATTGGCGCATAACGGGAGGCTAGCTCAGTAGATTACCATTCCTTTAGTTCTGGAGTTTAGGAGTTAATGATTTGCGGATAGTAGCTTCGGTCGTTCGGTCGATAGGGTAAGCGCTCATTCCTTTTTCTAAAAACTTCCCCGGGAATCTCTCGTACTGTATCGATCGGTCATCCGTTCACTCTCGCATCCGTTTAGCTTAGCCCATCCCGCTTATCTCTCATCTCGGTTTATAGAAAACGTTCTTCATGGCCTATTTGCTAAATCGCGAGTTTACGGGGTCACGATAGGTCCCTTCAAATGCAAAAGATAGGCCGTTTATTTCAACTGGAATTCTATAAGTATAGTACGCAAGGAAGGACCTATATGAAAGGAAGATAAAGGCTGGCACATAGGGACATCGCTTTAAGCTCCCTCAATGGGTAGCTCATCTCATTGGCTAGCTAGCTCATATGGAATAGGTCTCTGGCTTGCTCCTGTCTGTTCTTTGGTTATCTATCGGAAATAGTCGTAATCTTTCCTTTCTGTCCACAAAGAAATGATTTCTATTGTTTCCCGCGAATCTGGAATCTCCATAACTATACTATGGCAAAGGGTCAAAGCGTTCTGAACAAGGAAGACTCTTATAGTCTTTAGACTTAGACTCACGCACAACGGCTTATAATAACATATAATATGTAGCGGACCAAGAAAACGGATGCGCGTTGCTTGCCTTTTTTACTTGTTTTCTTGCTCAATAGAAGCATTCTAGCCTATTTTTATTTATAGAGGAACGGAGTAGCTCGACCGATAGGGAGAGGAAGGATTCACTCGTCTGAGAACCGCCATTCCCGTACTATTCCTCCCCACTCAAAAGAGCGATTGAGAATCTCGAGAACCTAAACAAAAATGCAGAAGTGAGCGTACCCTAAGGCTCTCCTCTCTCCCCCTTTTTAGCCAACCCCTTTTTTCACCTTGAATTGGTCAAAGCAAAAAATCTGATGAATAGAAGGAAAGGAGATACGCGAACGACTTTACTATAGTATAGGTGTCGGATGTTTCCGTGAGCAGTAAGCAGCAGATCTCCCCTTATTTTGGGAAAGCTGGTGGCCGCGTGTGAATTCTTTCAAGGGGCCTGATTCGACATTGTTGTTTACTCTGATCCGGTCGAGGTGGTTTTCGTTTACCAGCACGTAGGTGGTCTAAATTCCTATGACCGAGTCTTTCTGGCCCCTGTGAACATCTTTTCTTAATGTATTAAAGAGGGCCTCTCTAACCGGTGAAAAGTGGTGGGTGTCCACTAACGGCCATTCCTGGCTCGGCTCCGATAACGCAATTCCGGGAGGAGTCGGTAGTTGGGCACTGGATCCCTTCGGACCTGGAGAACGTGTGACGCTGGGTCGGGGTTTGGTGAACCAACTGGTCGCTCCTCTAGTTGAAGTATCGGGCCCCTTTTTCGTTGCCTAGGTTTACACCTTCGGAATACCCCAGAAGGGAATTTTCTCTACTCCCCCCAATCTTCACTTTACGCCACGCCGACTCCCCTTTCGTCATAAGGCGTGGAATTAGACCCAGGGGAATCTCTATAGGAACTAGTCCCTTAGATTTCGCGCATAGGAGATCGAGACACAGCCCCAGGGCTATGGGGAAAGATGTAGATCGATCGCCCTAGATAGACAACTACATAGAGGGTCTCTACAAGCCTATATATTCTTTTATTTCGTTCCCCCCGTAAGATAAATATCACAACCAATGAGGTCTGCAAGTTTCACATCTAAGTAATACCCGATCCGATAGTTTACGATATATATATATATATATTTCACAACAACATTCTAAGAAAAGATATTAATAGATATCGGTAGTTGTCCGGTCGTACCCAAACAATAATATTCCAGAGGGAAATGCACCTAAGATCAAATATTTCGAGCCGGCTTCCGTGGAAAATTCAGACTTTCTTTTTGATGCTGCGATCACATAAAAACATAAACTTTGAGGCTCAATAGCTAAATACATGGCAATTGAATCATAAGCCGAGATCATAAAGAGCATACCGCGAGTAGGAAGTGGAATTAATACAATGGATTCAAAAGCATCAAACCTCTCTTGTTCGAAAGAATCGAAACACATCGAAATGGTACCAGCCGTACTTAATAATAGAAGGATTTGGCAGAAATATGTAAAATTGTCCCTCCTAAAAAGATTATTCCAGAATAAATGGGCAATAGTTAGGAGAGGTGCGCCAGCGGCGAGCAGAAGCAAGGTTATTAGATACCTCAGGAAGCCCGGCCAGAACCACACGTGCAAGTTTCCCTGCATGTGGCTCGTCCGTGATAACTTCTTTGGATTTGCGTGAACTAGCGGACCGATCACTAAGTGGGGATGCTCCCTCCAGCATGAGCGAACCCTTTCGGAACTGGTTAAGAATGGGCGCAACTATCCCAGCCCGGATCCAGCCAGGTTCTATTGATCATGTCCCCTTCCCAACAGTTGTACCTTGTCTTGGGGCGTCTTTGGCTTTACGAGAGAAAGCTCGCCGGAGAAAAAAGTCTTTCTCTTCCCGTCCCGGTCATACTCCGGTGCGTCCACAGAAGAGGAAATCGCAATGCATCTTGCTCAGCAGGCATAGCTTGGAGTGAGAGTGTAGCGGGGGTAAGGTAAGGAAAGTGGCCGCCAGAGAGGAAGCCAAACCGGCCTATTAAGCGTAAGCACAGCTAAGCTAATATGCGCCGGAGAAAGCCAGGTGCCGTAGGTAAGCTCTATTCGGCCCGGAGCATTGATTCCCCATAACGAATAGGCTAGCTCTATCTCTCAATAGGGTTGGTAGTGGCCTGTGCTCGAGAAGGTCCCTCAGTTCCTCGGCAGCACCTCGAGGTGCATTTAGTTGTCTTACATGAGACTCGGGATATTCCCCACTCCATGGCATGAGACCTTTCGCTCATCCATTCCGCCCGCCCGTCCAGACGCTAAGCCCTTTCTCATTATCATCTACCGCCCTTTCTTTCCTCCCAGCTATTCACGCATGAAGATCGTCGTATGTATGCTCGACTTGGGTTGCCGGTGCTATAATAGGTAGAAGTACATTATGGCAGGATCAGTCACCCGGGCAAACAACCCTCCTCCAAGAAGAATTGTGCTATGCCCCCCCGATCCCTATAGAGCGAAAGAGCTGCCTGGTGATCCCTAGGTTGCAGCACGTCCGGTCGTTAACTCCTCGCGCTGCTGCCGCCGTTTCTAGGACCGACCGACGCCTCACCTGCACAGGTACCTACGTAGTGTAGTGTCGGTCGCACATTCAACATAGCGTTCGGACTCATGTGCCTTCCAGAACCAGGGGTCTTCGAGCCTGCTGCGTACGATTAGCCAGCCTTGCGGCGGCAAAAGGATTAGACGTCCCCCCATGCTACGGTTCCCTGCGGTCCAAACCCGGTGCCGCATTAGGTTAGGGAGCTGGACGATAATAGCTCCTCCGCATCCCAAAGCGCGCTGCCCTCCTAGGCGCGCAACACTAAGTAATCCAAGCCAACCCACATTACTGACTAACGGTGGATAATCATATTTCTTAGAGGTACTAAATACAACTCCATGAATGAGCAAAATGAAGGTAGCATTAATGATAAAGATCTCCGGGGAAACCGCTAAAAAAAGATTGAACATGTGAGAGGATCCGAACGAATTCTGCTTTCATTTCCCCCGTATGGAGCACTGAGTTACTTACGTTACGGTCTTCAGCAGGCAGGCTGCACTCTAGGCGGCTAGGAAGGCTCGCTAGACCATCAGCCAGACCAAGAATGAATGTGTAATGATGGTGATTCCACACCAGGCTCAATAAAGAATTGAATGTGGAAAGGGGATCCTAAATAAAAAAGGAGTCCATGACCCCTTTTTAGAGCGTATAAGGGGAGGTCGAATTCCAAACCTTTTCTCTCGAGTATACCCATTACCAAAAAATGGACGTCACTTTGGGACACATGCGGATAGCCCCCCCGCTTGGCTAAAAGTAAGCCAAAAGAGCTCAAACTCTTTTTTTTTAGTTCCACTGAGAAATTCTTTGATAAGAAAAGACGCCACTCTACGAGGGAAGTCCTCGGGTCGAGTCTTTGCGAGTTCATCCCAAACAAAGCGAACTCCTTCCGGTCGGGAAGATGCAGATAAAAGGCCAATAGCCTGATGTCAGCTTCTACGGCATAAGCTTTAGATCTATCAACGAATAATATACATTTCATAAGAAAAAAAATTTTGTTTCAATCTCAAAGGTATAGGTGAAATTTTGAACAGTCATTTCAATCTTTTTCTTCCAATTCTAAGAAAGAGAAATCCGTCAATAAATGACGAACCCCATTATACAGATGATAGGACAGGGCTAATGCTTCGGTCATACTAGATTACGAGGCTTACCGAACTACCTTTGCCCTAACTCAGAGAGAGAAGGCCGCTCAAGCAGAATCCGAATACGACTTTCGCTAAACAAGAGCTCTTTACTGCTAAGCTGATCACAACTTCACATTCAACAACAGCAAGAAGACGACTCTAAGTATGCTGACCACGGACTTACTATAGCACCAACAGCTAGCTTGCTTTCACTTGGTATCGGATCTTTCCTAAATGAAGAATTTGCCTCTCGACGGGAACTCCTACTACTTATAGTTAGTCTACCTACGTCATTCTTTCTTTAATAAGTCAATTTCCCACGGTCAAGCCTAGTAGAGCTCCTAGTCCGACAAGACTAGCAAACATGCTACTAAACCATGCTACCAGGCCTAGCTACCACAGAAAGGAAGGAAAACCGAACCACAGAGAAAGTCAAACCAGCTCTTCCTGATCAACCATTGCCGGGAAAGAGACAACAGCTACTCTTCCTCCAAGAACTGATTCGATAGCGCCGTCTTTAACCGCTTCTCATTTCCGGACTTAGCTTTTGTCTTGATACATACTCTTAGTCACTAACTCTTTCTCACATCTCGATCTCTAGAAGGCCCATTCAATAGATCTCTCTTTCTTTATTTTCTCATCTCGTTTTTCTTTTAGGAAGAGTAAGAGGTTTCTGTACTACTAATCGGCTCCTTAGTAGACTGAATTTATGATTTCGTGATTCAAAGGAATTGACCAAGCTGACTGACTTTCCTGATTACTTATTTTCTGCGCTATTGCGAAGAGAATCCGCTGTGACAAAAGGGGCTGTGTCAGACTGATCAAAGCAAGCCTCAAAGCGAGAAAGGAAGTCTCACCTGATTTCCTCGGAAAGAGAGTCGACAAGCGAGTACGAGTAGAGGTATGAAGTCACTCGACTGAGTTGGAGAGGAGCGAGATCCCCCTTCAACTAGAAATAAGAGTTCAGTTCTCTTTGGACTGCTTTCAAAGGATATAAAGGAGAATAGTCCTGCTTCCTTTAGTTTTGTTTTCACTCTTATTCAACCATTTATTTCGAGATGGGAATGAATGGAATAC